ACATGGGATGATCTATTTCGGATCTAGATGACATAAGATCAAAAAGACGGTTGGTGACTTTAAGTCTATAACTAAGACTAGCTCTTTGCCTGTCATCATTGTTCGCGTCTATGGTACCATGCTCCGATGATACTTGGTTGTTCAGAGGCTGTGTCACTTGCGAACGAGATAACATTACATAGGACTCTGATGGTAACAAGAAGGATTCTTTAGTGCTAATCTCCCTGCTCGGAGATCGAGATAATTCAAAATTCTTTGATCCTGATCGTTTATTTGGTACAGAAATCCCATTCTGGTTGTTATTAGAAATCGTTTGCTTAGAGCTTCCATTAATTTCTGCAGTTTCAGAACGTCGGTCTGTTGTCGATGAACGAACGACCTCTTCAGAAAGTGGTGCTAGGCAAATTTGATTGATCTGTTAGGTTTGAAGCAATGGAATATTACATTAGAAAACATATACTACCTACCTAGTAAGATATCAATTGAGGTTGAGCCAAGATCGGTGAGTGTGTCGTCAATTCTTAGGGTATGTTTACAACGCTGACATGTAAATACTGGAGTTTGTTCCATATTGAAGAGAATGTTTATGTTTCTGAAAAGTGTGCGTATAATGATAATCTTTTAATTATCACAGTAATACAATCACCATGATCAACCTATCAGGGCATTCTTTATATGAAATAGAAATTTTTGATCAAATCATTCCTCCCCTTCTCACCGCTTTTGTCATCTCGCAAGATGGTGAGTTTTTTTAAATTAATCCATTATATTTAAAATATGTTTTATACACAAACAAGATATCATCATGTTATATATTCAAATTATCGAAGTTATTGATATCGTAAAATTCAGAAAATTGAAATTGATGCGACTGTATTATATAAATTTTAACGAACGTATTTAAAAAATTTTTTAATGAATTAATATTTGAAAAATAATTGAACACTAAAGAAACCAACATTAGCAATCTTTTAAATTCCTTTGACCAGAATATTTCGAGCATTGCTGGTCTTTTTTAGTTAATTGCTTTTTTTTTTTTTGCAAACGATTGTTGACAATAGTCTGCGGAAAGGCCTAAAATCAGCGTTTACTCCGAAACGGGAGATAGTTGTATTGAAACCATAGAATTTCCTGCGGTATTTAAAGCACCAATTCGACCAGATATTGTGAGATTTGTTCATAAAAATATCTCCAAAAGTAACCGTCAGCCTTATGCAGTATCATCAAAAGCTGGTCATCAAACTTCGGCAGAATCTTGGGGTACTGGGCGTGCAGTTGCTCGTATTCCTAGAGTTTCTGGTGGAGGTACCCATCGTGCTGGACAGGTTATCAGATTTTCAAACTTATTTTATAGAAACACGACAGAATATAGTAATAACCTTACGATTTATTGTGAATTATTCTAGGGTGCTTTCGGTAACATGTGTCGTGGTGGTCGCATGTTCGCACCTACTAAAATCTGGCGCAAGTGGCATATCAAAACAAATCTTAACCAAAAACGATTCGCCACTGCATCAGCTTTGGCGGCATCAGCTATTCCATCACTCGTATTGGCACGAGGTCATAGAATTGAAGAAATTCAAGAAATACCGCTTGTTATTGGAAGCGGTATTGAATCTTTGGTAAAAACCAAAATGGCCATTGAACTTCTGAAAACCACCCACGCTTATAGGGATGTGGTTAAAGTTTCTAATTCTCGTAAATTACGAGCTGGTAAAGGTAAAATGCGTAATAGACGCCATCGTCAACGTAGAGGACCGTTGATTGTCTATAATGAAGACCTTGGTGTTGTGAAAGCTTTTCGCAACATTCCTGGAGTTGAAGTGGTTAACGTTAGAAATTTAAATTTATTACAATTGGCACCTGGTGGCCATTTGGGTAGATTTATTATTTGGTCTCAGGGCGCTTTTGCATTGTTGGACGCCCTGTTTGGAACTTATAAAAAGCCTTCTGAATTGAAAAAGGACTACCGGTATGATATAATCTTAATAATAGTTAAAAAATACGACCTTATAATAATAATTACTGCTTTATAACCCTATTACTAAGTTCACTTATTTTCACCTTGTTATGATTAGTTTGCCACAGAACGTTATTTCTAATTCTGACGTTACCCGTCTCATCAATTCCAATGAGATTCAACAAGTCCTTCGACCTGCTGGAGAAAAGCATCAAAAACGCCCTTATACTCAAAAGAAAAATCCTCTCCGTAACAATGGTGTGAAAATCCGTTTAAATCCTTATGCTAAAGTGTTACAAAGAGCAGAAATTATTGCTGCTGAAAAACGCAAAGCTGGTAAGGTGAAAAAGAAACGAGTTCAATTCAAAGCTTCAACAAAGGTTGCACCAAGGTATTATCACTTATTATTTTTTGTCAGTTCACAATTCACGTTAGTTCGTATGCTGAAAGTATTTTAAACCCGATTTTAAAAAATCCACTTTATTAGATTTGTCGAAATCTTGTTGGACTCATAACATCATAAAGGGGATGATTTTAGGAACAAGTAGTGATCCTGGTAGTAATGAAAAAAATCGGCTAAAGCTGATTTTCGACGATTTTTTTCAAAATGAACTAATCGACTTCTTATAACGATAATAATTAATAAGCTTTGATCATTACAAAGTTTTTTCTTTTTTTTGTATATATATTGCAAATAGCAAATAATGAATTGTTATAATAAATCGTCGATGAACCTTATAGAACGTTACTATAAATAACCAATGATATTTCGAGAATTGACAACCAATCAAAATTTGATTTTATCTTTGCTAGTACTGTACGAGATATGCCGATCCTAATCCATTTTTGCACTGGGGCATGACAACCATAAGGTGGCGAATAAACATTTAAAATATAATTGTTTATTCGCCTCTCCATATGATTGGCCACGCCCCAGTGTCAAATGGGTTGAAATCGGCAGTGATTAACGAATAGAACTTTACTTACAGGTCTTCTCTGTGCAGTGATGCAGCTAATAAAATAAACTTGGGATTTTTAATTTTGAGAAAATTGCGCATTTAATTTCATGTTTAATTAACTATTTAATTTACAAGAAGTTTATGATATTGGTGTCCAATATGCGTAAAATCGATAAATTTTATTTAATTTTGAAAATAATTGTCACCGCTGAAGCTAAATACATCAGACCTTTTAAATGCAATGCAACGGGACTATGTGTAAAAATTTAGCTAAACGTGCATTTAGAGAGGTATTGCGTTTAGGGAGGTAAAAATCTATAGGTTGTGCCAAGAGAAGACGTACATTTAGGGAGGTTTTTCATAGGACGTGCACTTAGGGGTTGCATTTAGGGGGTCCGACTGTATTTATACGAAATTTTCAAATTTTTTTTTTAAATCGAGGACCCTAATTTCCAGATTTAGCCGCAGCATTGATTTTTATATTGAACCTAGGTGCCGCACAAAAAATGCGCGGCAGATCCTCGATTTTGATTGGCTAACGGCCGAGGATCTTCAAAATTTTGGCCCGCATTACATAATTGTTACCTAATTTCCGGCCGGAATTTTTAATTTTTTCAGTACAAAAATAGAGGTTTTTAAAAAATAAGCCCGCATTATGGTAAAATTAGCCCAGGAACAATTTTCACTTAATAGGCTCATTTAGTGTTCCGCATGGTCCGGTTCCGGGCGGGTATTGTTAAGAACCGTATCAAAACCATCACATGATATTGGGTCCTTATAAAGATCCAGAACCATATCATATGGATCCGGAACTTAACTATAGAACCAGTATCGAATATAGAACTTGGAACTTTCAATAATATTCACATAGCAGAATTGCAATTTATTTTTTTATTTTTGTCTTATATCTACCAAGAATTT